GCTTTAGAAGACATATGCGTTAGGAATACACTCTACCAATGTATCTTATTGAATGACATCAAGCAAACTGTGTTTAATATTTGAATTTTTTTGAACATTATGAATTAATCAAATGATTTAGGGTTAGGTGTGGCTAGCCCTCTGTATTTTGGTCACCATGTAGTTTTACGTAAAAAACTGAAAGATAATTTTTTATGCAAAACTGTGCTAAGCTGGTAGCATTTTAAACATATTTTCAGTAAGTAATTTGTAATTTCTCTTCACCATACGCTATCGATATCTCTGGTTTTTATTCTTCTTTTAGAACTGTGTATGGATTGAGAGTAGAAAAAATTCCGCTTATATACTTTACATAACATAACAAAATTCTTAACTTGAGTTAAAAGTTATTTTTGTTATTATAAAGATTATAACATCACTTTTTGAATTCTGTTCACTCTTTTTAAAATCAGTTATCAAATATGTAATTATAAACAGATTAAAACGGAAATTCGTAAAAAATACTTGATTTTATAATCTAATAAAATATTTTCAGTGCAAAGTTGAAAAGTTTAGAATTCGTATGGAGTAGAAACGTACTTCTTTCAATGCAGAATAATAGCAATAAGAATGATTTATTTTTGTTTATAAACAGCAGCATTGATTAAAAACTATGAATCCTTGTCGGTTTATTTGAAATGTTTCTTTCTAATCAACAACTTTTATTTTGCTTTTAAAATTTATCTAGTTGCGACAATATACACTTATTTAACAATAAACGATACAGTTCGTTGCCACAGAGAAATGACTGAAGGCTAGAAAAACATCTGCAGATATTTTTAGACAAGAAGATGTGAACTACGATAAATATGCATTTTTAAAAATTATTCATAATAAAGGCATTTGAATTTATAAATTGCGTATTATTTTTTGAAAAACAGAAAGAAAAAAAAAAAAGATTTTTGGGGAACACATTAGCATTTTTTATATGCATTTAGTTTCCCAGTTATAGTCCGATTTCAAACAGTGTGGGATAATGACGGGACTGGTTAGCCAGACTATGCGAGGAATTCCTGTAGCTTAGTTTTAAGTGAATCTGTGCGAAAGATTTTTGTTTTCAGTTTAAGTTTAGATTACAGTTTATTGTTAATTAGTCTCAAATCCATGTAAATTTTATTTTACATTTGTTAGGCAATTTCGTGCTTGAAAGAGTATAGTAAAACTAACTTGTATCCTTCACTTTGATTTTAAATTATAATTAATTTTAAAAATGATCAAATTCACATGAATTGTATTTCACCGCTCTTCGACTACTCTGTCAAGAAAAAAGTGCTATTCATTATAAGCCAAGTTTAGCAAGTTATCGCCAAATGTGCAACTAAACTAAGGAAATCGAGCATTCGACGACTTTAAGTGGGGTTCATTCAGGGATGTAAGAATGCCCTACCTTACTTCCTACCTCCATGGGTTCATTAAGTGGAGGGAGAATTTTCGGCTAAAAGCCCACTATTTAATTTTCGGCTCAATTCCACTACTGCAACTGGACATCGCCGATTTGAATTGCAAGCAAAGAACGAAAGTTCGAGTTTTCCAATCTCGATTATTTTGAAAATTCACTGAATTCGAATGGTCCATCTCTAAAATAAATGACTTAAATGCGGGCATTTATCAAATAAGGGAAATGTAGAAGCATAGAAAGGGAGTTTTCACCCAATATTTGTACAGATTCAAGTACGAAAGAATGTTATTTTAAGGCATGCAACATTTTTGTAACGCTAATAGAAAAGTGGATTTTGTTTCATGACATAGAAAGGAGAGACGGTCTAATAGAGGTAATCTGGAAAAAAGATTTGAAGAGGTTATATAAATCGATATTTTGAACACGAAAGTATTGTTATATAGTATTATTTGATGCTTGGTCGGTATTCTGGTTTGCAGCAGATGATAGTGATCCCTACTCTTGCCAGTTATTGAAAGAGTCCCATTAGAGCTGCCAGTTATTGAAAGAGTCTCATTAGGGCCTGACTTGTGATACAACCGTAAAGAATATTCTCCCAAAGAGATAAGTACCTGACGGGGAGAGAACAGATTGAAGCGCTTTGCTTCTAAAATTTGAAGATCGGATAGGGGTCTGGAGACTGCTCGGTGTCGATGCTGGTGTTCTCCCAGAATTCATATATTTGCAAAGACACAATATCAAACTAAGTAGTAAAAATTATAGTATTATTTAAGAGTTCCGAATATACATTAATATGCGGGAATTTAAAATGTCAAATGATTGTGATCATTATGACCTTACTTTTAAATTCACTTTTAGAATATTTATGCATTTTGAGATTTTCTTGGCATTTAAATCTAGTTCCAGCTGGGAAAAAACTAACCAGGTGAGTACATTAATGGCTCTCCAGCGAGGGTGAAAGACATACACGAATTTACTTACTTTCGAAAAGTACTTTATGATGGCGTCATTCCCAGCTGGGTAGCCTTCTCATTCTCCTGCTCTTATTAGCTCAAAGGGACAATTTGCCCAGAAGAGCTATTAATTTCGTCTGGGCATTTTGTGTTGATTCACTATAAACGGCGAATCACTTTTTAAATTATTGCCACCAAATATTAGAGCCCTGTATTATAGTTAACGGAATTAAGTAATGAAGAAGCTGCATAAATGTATATGTTTCTCGCATTGTGATAAAACAACGGTACCTAGGGGCCATCAGATTTTGAATAACGTACGTCTCCACGCAAATATGGGCATCTGGAAGCCCAAATTTGGAATTTGTTTTATTATTTATTTCCTATTTTGTAAAGCATTTATGAGTCTTTAATTAAGAAACTCGACGATTTCAAAGCGAGCAATGGCAACTCTATACGAAAAAAAAAAAAAAAAAAAAAAAAAAAAATCTCCAGCGGTTGAGACTCTGTAGGGGAAATAATAAAGATATGCTCTTTTAAATATTTTGTGATATTACTGTTGAATTGAATTTCATGGTTTAAGTGCGAAGAACATGATATTTAATAAATAAAGGTAACACACAAAACGTTAAAAAAACGCCCCTTTGGCCGTAATATAAAAATCTGTCAGCTTTCATACTATTTTTTTTATACATAATTTTTCCTTATTTACTCTTATCACATTTTATATTTAATCTAAACTTTTTTTTTAACGCCCAGCGGCCAAGAGGACGTTTGAATCCCACCGAAAAGGCTGGCTACAAAGACATTTGTGGCTTTGCGCCATGTTTAACGTGAACTCGGGCAATTTTCCCTCAAAAAATTCTTCAAGCATGCATTCTTCTTCTCAGTCAGATAACCCTCGATGTCTTCCTATACACTGCTAAACAAAAAGGCCACTGTTGAGCAGTGCTTTTAATTTTAACAATGCGGCTGTGTTTATGAATTTCTTATTAAAAGTTTTATAACTTAGTTTATCAAAGCTCTTTTAATCGATTAATTTTTGTTACTTATCATTAGATGGTCGGATAGTTAGTTAAGGTAAAGCACGCAAGAGTTATCTGAATAACGGAAGAGATGGCTTCAAAAGATAGAATATGTCACGTAATTTGCTTTCATTTCAAAGGAATAGCTAGTGCTTACAGTGGATTGGATTGGATTATTCAATTATGGCAAAGCACACGAGGGCTATCTGCCTAAAGGGAGGGATGCCTTCGTGGAGGACTTTCTAAGGGATACTGGCTCGTATACACATTACACATAGTGCTTACAAATGAAATTAATTGTTAATTACAGAGTCAACACAAATGCTTCCCTTTTTTCTGATTATCCATTATTTCAAAGCATTCAGTTTAGTTCTAAATTATTTTAAATGCTATTTTAGATGATATTTATTTAAATTCTCTTAATGGGTCAGGTCTTTTTACATTTATCCGACGCTGAAAAGTATAACAAGGTATAAACTCCCCTCTTTATACCTTGCAGTACTTGAATTTGTTCATATATGTACATACAAATTAAAGTTCTCGTGTTAATTATTAAGAATATTTCGAACATTCCATGAGTGAAGAAAAGAAAAAGAGTATCTTTAGAAACAGTATGCTTTACTCATTTCATGCTAAATTATTTTCCTTTATATTTCGGGTATAGTGATAGTAAACACAGCATACTTCCAAACAGTATTAAAAATGTTCCTATCTACCTGGTTGGATTTAATGTTTCAATATTAACAATTAAAAATCATTCCTTTTTTTTCATCATTATTTTTATTTTTTAAGGAATGGTTAGAGTAATGTGGGATTAAATATACATAAATTGTCAGTATATAGTCAGTCCATTATTTACAATTTTGAAAAGAAAATGTTACATAAAAGTCTTTCAAAAATTGGACAGCCATTCTAAGAAGAAAATGAAAATGTGAAGTATAATTTTCAAATTATGTGATATTGTTTCGTACCTGCTACGTACAAATTAAAAACATGACGTAAATATGAACTTTTTACAGGTACGTTTTTCATCTGTACGATAGATACTAGGAAAGACATGTCATTAGCAGATCTATCTGAAAGTAAACAACTTTTAAACGGCGCTCTTTTCGGCGAGCGACGAAGCTAAGCGAAGTCTCTTGAGTCGTGAGACGCTTTTTAAGTACCAGGTGCAAACAAGTTTCGTTCTAGATAGCGGCTGTCCGAAAACGTAATACCCTCCACTATTCGAATGGTTGAGTCTAAAACACACACATCCCACACTATTCGAATGGTAGTGATCCATGTTTTCGTATAACCGAAGGAAGAGCGCCTTTTTCCCCATCGTAGTTTCCAAAGTCGTATTTCCGCTTTGCCGGGGAAAATCGATTCGGAAAAGAGAACGTTCGGAGGAGAAGGGCGCGTAGCTCGTAAATTCGAACGCAGCGGGTGAATACAGTCAAAGTCGGGTGTTTATTCCGAAGATAGCGACTGCTTTTCGTAGCTGTGACCTCGGGTTAGCTATTGGCTTTCGCTTTTCGTGCGCTTCAAATAGTTTCGTTTTCTCGCTTTCCCAAGAATTATTTATTCGAAATCAGAGCAGTCATGGGTCCTAAAACTGCTAAAATGTCAGGAAATTGTATTACAAAAGCTAAGAGGCCAAGGAAAGCAATATCATTAGCTAAGAAAATAGAAATTATTAAAAAGATAGAAGAAGGGTATAGGCCAAAAGAAGTTAGTGTCAGTATGAATTTAGCTTCTTCAACTATCAGTACTATACTTTCTCAGAAAGAGGAGTGGAAAAAAAGGGCAGAAACAATTGTGGGGGGTGGTAGTCTTTTACGAATCACTAAAAGTAGAGCTGAAATAATGGAAAACCTTGAAAGAATGTTAAGAGTGTGGATACACAGTCACGATGAAAGTAATATTCCTTTGAGTTTCACAGTCGTCAGGGAAAAAGCTTTGAGTTTGTTTGCCAAACTGAAAAAAGAAGCCGAAGAAGAGGGTGATGAAGAAGCTAAACAGATATCTTTTAAAGCTAGTCACGGGTGGTTCGAACGTTTCAAAAAGCGTTCTTTCCTTCAGATCCGTGATGATACAGCACCATCAACAGAATTTGAAGAAGAAAAAGATTTTCCAGCAAAACTACAACTTCTTGTAGATAAAGAAGGATATTCTCCAAAACAGATATTTAGTTTACGTGAAACTGGCCTTTTTTGGAAAAGAATGCCATCTCGGACATTTATTTCCAAGCACGAAAAAAATGCTACGGGTTATAAAGCATCTAAAGACAGGCTAACTTTACTCATTGGAGGAAACCTTGAAGGTGATGTCAGATTAAAACCTCTACTTGTGTATCATACTGAAAATCCAAGGGCATTGAAAGGTTTATGTAAGAAAACATTACCAGTGATTTGGCATTCTAATCGGAAAGTTTTGATTACAAAAAAAATTTTCCTCGACTACATAGTAGAGTACCTTTCACCTTTCATAGATAAATATAATGCGAAAAATCATTTTGTCAACAAATCTTTACTTATTCTTGATATTTCTCCTTATCATCCTTTAGACCTCGAAGAATATTGTGACAATATACGTATTATATTTTTGCCACCAAATATTCCTTCTACTTTTCATCCAATGGATCAAGGTGTTATAACTTCTTTTCAGCATTATTATCTACTACAACTGATGCAATGCATCGCAACTAATTTAGGAAGCATTGACAAAATAGCAGTCAAAGAAGTGTGGGAGAATTACAACATTAAAATTGGAATTGAAAATATAGACACCGCTCTGACTAAGCTTACTAAAAGCGATATGAATCGCTGTTGGAAAAATCTTTTGCCAAAATACGTCTACGACCACCGAAGTTTTGAGAAGGATTTAAACAAAATTAAAGACGATATATTACAATTAGCAGCACAAGCAGGGTTTTTTGATGTTGACAAAAAGGATATTGCTGAACTTATACGATCGCACCAGGAAGAATACACTGGTGAAGAGGTAATTCTGTTAGATGTAGCCAGATTAACTGAAGAAGATAATGAAGAATTACAACAACACAATAAAGTTCTAGGAACAGAAACACTTGCTAAATTCTTTTATTATTTGGACTTAGCCACTCAACTTCTAGACGAAAATGATCCGAACTTAGAGCGAACATCAGCATTTAAGCGCGGGTTGTTTCAATTAGTTACGTGCTATCGTGAGGTATATGACAGAAAGCGGCTAGCAGCAATGCAAACATCAGTTTTGACATTTTCTCAGACCTCTACGTTAGCTGAATCGGAACGTTCCACTTCATCTGAAGGAAATTATTCATTTTCTTAAACTCTGTTTTGGATGAACGCATATATATTTTTATGAATCCTTGAACTGCTTAAAATGATAAAAAAACTGAACTAGCAGTAAATTACTAGGTTTCCTATGTTATTAACTCAAACATTTTTGGATGTATATATATTTTGTGGATATTTGAAAAACCATTCAACAATTGTGTACTTGAATGTAATTTCATTTCAGTGTCTGAATTTGCATCTGGAACAATGCTAGAAATGAACTAAAATTCGGATAGCAAGTGAATGGTATGTTTCAATATTAATTGTGTTGCTTACATTTATATTTTCTTTTGGTAAACATTATTCTTATTTATTCGATTTCTTATTATGCATATTCACTATATGCTCTGTAATATAATTAAAATCAGTTTGATAGCTACAAATGTGTCATAAAAAATACCATTTTTTAAGTAAATGTCTGTGTAAGTAATAATTTGATTTTTCGTAAAATAATAATATAAAATATGGATCATTACATTTACTTTTAATAATGTATTTGTATTTAATTATATCCGTGGATAATGCAATATAATACTTTCTTTATAATTTTTCTTTATAATTTTTCTTTTTCACAATTTATTTTAACTGTGAAATGAAACTGTATGATATGACATATTATTGTAACTATGTAAGTTATAAAAATAGTTTACAATGGCAAAGTTTAAATACTTTAAGATATATTTAATGTTATATAAATTATAATTGGCTTGATATGGCATATTAGGTACTTTGGCACTCTTTTGATAATAAGAGTCTAAAATTTGTCCTTAATTTATATTGAATGCGTGTATTCAAAGTGCGAAATAGCATTGTTAAGTAAAAATATCGAATAATAAAAGTAAAAAAAAATTTTTTTTTCGTATTTGATACTTTTTAAATGCTATATTTTTGAAGAAATTTCTCTAATCAATTTATTTCATAAAAAAGGCGAGCACACCAAATTTGTTAAAATTTCGCCTTTCTTATGCATTAAATAAAGTCATGAAATTTTTTTGAAAGAGACTAGAGCGTTGTTTCGAAAATAATTCAAGCATTTAAAAATTTGAATAAAATAATAAAATAAATAAAGGTAATTAATGCTGAAGGGTTTTATAAGCATGAAATCTTTTTATGTTGACTTTTCCTGACAGAAACTAGGAAAAGGATTTTTGAAAAAAATTCTTTGTTACTAACGTTTATTCTCCTTGATTCGAAAAATACGCTATTAAATTAGTTTTGAAAAGATTTATTTTGGCAAAGCTTATCTAGCCCTAAGGGGCAGGATGCCTCCGTGGAGGACTGTTTAAGGAAAGCTGGCTCATATACACGGGAAAAACACGAAAGTGCCTACGCAGTCAGCCCATTCGCCTGGAATCGAACCCAGGACGGAACTACCAGTGGTCAGCAATTTTACCGCATGGCCGCAATTTAAAAAAGAATGCACTAAGAAGATTTTGTGAAAATAAGTTAAAATGATACTGCTTTACATCCGTGAAGATATTCTGCTGAGAACAGCTTAAATGAAACACGTGTCAATGTGTTGTTAAAGAGTTTATCAAAGTTCTGTCGAGAATCAGACCATTGATTACGAACGCATTCTCTCAAATATGCCTCGCAGAACCATAAATTACTTTAAGCTTCTTCAACTGGTTTACGTTCACAAATTGACAGAACAATCCACATATAGTTTGTAAAACTGTTGATACAACTTATGCGTTTAAAGCATGAATTTCTTATCGTAGAGTTATTATTAGAGGAAGTATTTGACTTCATTTCAACTCAAGAATTATCACACTTCCGCAGAGGCACTCACATGGTAATTGGTCCATCCAGCAAGCTGTGGAAGATTTCTGGTGAAGAAGCGCAGTTTTTTTTTTTTTTTTTTTTTTTTTTTTTTTTTTTTTTTAAATATTTGCTGGTTGTTTCCCCTCTTTTTTTTTTTTAATTAGACTTCTTTGTAGGCTGTTCCTCCTTTATAAAAAACTGAAGTTTTGTTTTTCCATTTCGGTACCTTTTTTTTATTTTGCAACTTTCTAAATACTTCATCTTCTTAAGAGCACCGAAATCAGTCATCCAAATGATGAAAGATGATAAATTCGTATTTCCAAATGCAAAATAAAAGAAACTTTTGGAATAAAAATATATTCTTTTCAACATTCCAGTATTGTTAAGTACATGTAAACTAATGCTTTCCTTTGGTGCAAAGCGCATACGGCGTCAATTTATAAATAAAAATTATAATATTGTTTCCTAATAAATTCTTATAGTTAAATATATGCACATAGAGTCTTTACTTATACATACAGTTCTTACTTATAGGAATTCGTGCAGTAATGATTATAGAAATGGCATTATTAATATGGAATTGCTGTCAGGTTAAATAGAATTATAATATATTTTTCTTATTAAAAATGTTTTTTTCCTTTTTCTTAAGATACACATTTCTTTCTGTAATGGTATGAGTACATGGAGTAAGATTAGTATTAATTAATTTCAAGACATGCTTTATCTAGCATACTATGAAACTCGTGAACTTTAAAACATGATTAAACGAAGCACTGGTTATGCATTTTTCGGAATATAATTTTTAATTCATAAGGTCCTTTTAAAGTACTTTAAAGAATTGCTCTAATGTGCTTGAGATAATTGTGTATTGGTTGATTTCTCAATGCATGTAAAGGTGCTTTAAATTTCGTATTAAAATTTGAATGCATTTTGACGTGCATACACGTAAATTGTGTAGTGTCTTATATTTTAAAATCTAACAAAGGATTGTATTGAATTATTAGGATTATCGCACAGCACACCAGGACTACCTGCCTAAAGCGGGATAGTTTGGAAAAAGAATTTCTATGGGCTTAATATTCATCTTATCGGATGAGGAGATGCAAGAAAACGCCCAAGCAGCTAGTCCATATGAGGGGATTTGATTTCGAGTCGAACTATCAGTGTTCAGTCGTCTTCTCACTTGGCCACTAGTGGGTTCTTAACCAAAGAATCACCACTGAATACTGGTAAATCGTTTCCCTGTGAATGGGCTAATTGTGTTGCATTTTCCCCTACATGCATAACATAGGTACCCGACAGATTCTCATAGGAAGTCTTCCACGAAAGCAAAATGGTACTCTTCTGTTATCAGGACAGGGTTCCGATATGTATGGATGTATGTGTATATCTGTGCGCGTATATCTGTGTACATCTATATACGTATGCATGTGCGTGTATACACACACGTACATGCACATAGACACACACACGCGTGCATACATACATACATTCCTGAATCCAGTCCCAATAACAGAGAAGAGTACCAGCAAAATTTCTAAGGCAAATAGCCCTTGTGTGCCTTGCTTTCGTCAATTATTAGCGGTAATAATGAATTTTTATATTGTATTTATTTTTCTGAAACTATATTTTTAACGTAATTTACTGTTATTAGTAGAGTATAGAAAACAACTTATGCATTTAATTGTTTAAAAAGGTACGTAAAATTGTCATTTTCTAAAATCGTATTTTACTCGTTAAGAACTAAACGAAAATTCTATAGTAATAATTGATCGATAATATTGATTAAATAGCTATTTTTGCAAGAATTACGATTAAATGGACTGAATACCATACCTTTATCTAATTTTTAAATAAATATGTTTTCTTTGAGTATGAAATGTAACAGCAGGTGGAAAATTATTTTAATATTTCCTTTAAGTGTGAAACTATTCATGTAAGTCTAGTTTTCAAAAGGCTATTTTAAGGGATTAGGATTATTTAGATTATGGCAAAGCACTCGAGATTAATCTGCCTAAGGAAAACATATAGGAAATGTCACGAGGACTGTGCAGCCGGCTCCGTCTCTAGAATTTGAGTTACAAGTTGAACTACCACTATTCAGCTGTTTTACTGTTTGGTGGGCCTACTATTTTAGGGAGAAAAATACCGTCCTGTATTCGACTTAGTGTAGTACTGAGATAGTTAAAAACTCATAATTCCTTTGAAAATTTATTAGTAAACTAACATTACGGCAAACATCTTTCATGTGAAGTTTGTATCTCATTGCATATAAAGGAAGTGACAAAAATGATGCTTTCCATCCTAAAATCTTTTAACAGAGTGATCTTAAACCTCAAAATTAATATTCGCGTTTTTGCACTTTTACAACAAGGTTTCAGAAATGTAAAAATAAATCTTTTCTTTTTCTCTGACCCTCCTCTTTCTTCCTTGAAAGAATGTGCTAATTTGTGCAAATCCACCGAATATTCTAATTTATTTTCGTTTTGTTGAGAAAAATGACCTTTATAAGTTGGCGGCTCTTAACAAAATTAAATAAAAATAAAGTTATTCTTACGTTTTCACAGCATTCTTTTTTGTCGCGTTTTATTTCATGCAGTTTTGCAAATTGATTCGGAAACTAAATTAAATTTCTTTCGCGGAGGAAAATTTCTTACTTTACTGCAATTCAGTTAGTAGCGATAGCATGAATTTAGATATCTGCTGATTATTTACAATGGGAAATTTCTCCACTGATAACGTTATGGACAGATAAAATTTCTGATAATTATCAATTACATGTGCTGAAGCAACTTCAAGAATTACTTGGCAGTTCAGCCTTTTCTGAATTAAAGGAAGCTGTCCCCAATGTAGCATCACATGTTTGAGATTTGGCAATAACATTTCATATGACTCACTTTAAGCGTGAAATTATTTTAAAATTTCAAACTCCATAAAGTGTTCAAAATGTCGAATTCATAAATATTGAATCAGTTCATTTATTAAACGAAAATATATTCACAAGTTTTAAATATTTTCTTATGAGATTCGAAAGTTAAATAATGCTAATAGGAGCGATTGTGACTGGTATGACATTCGAGGGAAATTAGTTAAATAGCACTTAATTTTTTTTTTTAATTTGAAGATACTGGTAATTAAAATGCTGTATTTACAATAAATATTTCATTGATTGTATATTTTCTTTTGTAGTAATATTCATTTAATTTTTGAATAAGTTAAACATATGTATTAATAAAAATGTAAACAAGATTAATTAACGATTAAAGAAAATATGATTGCAAAATATTCTAGTTATTGCAAAAAAAGGGAACTAAAAGAACAATATTTATTGCAAAATAGACCTTGCAACAATTCGTGCAAAAAATTTTGTTTAAAAGATAACTCTAAGTGTTAAAATTATACATGTGCTTTTCTGTTAATATTAAATACAGTGTAAACTTTTGATTGAGATTTTTAAAAAGGTTTTCATTAATAATACAGTT